TATAAACGCGAGGCACGTGTAATTGGTCGTCAGCCTTTAAGATAACCTAATACGTTTTTTATACATAAAATCCTTACAATATGTATCTTAAATGTTTATTTTATGAGATTTTTTTTCTCGTAGAACGCGGTAATCTCACGATAACAATAAATAAAATTTGTCAATATTGTGTTTTAATAATATTTCTTTTGATTTAAGTTCATTTACCTTATGAGTTTATGAACGTCCTTTCTATGGCTACTAAAACTTATGTTCTTAAATATAAAATTTCAACTAATGTTTTTTTAATAAACTAAATGTACTGTTTAAGTACAATGGCTCTGAACGGTTTGATACCTGTGTTTTCTTCTTACAATTATTCCCAAAACGTTGTTTTAGTGGGTTAGAGTCTTACATGGAAGTTTTCTCTTCATGGAAAAAAGTGCACAATTCACTGGATCACCGATATAAGCAATATTAAGCATATTCAAGCACTCGATACCGATCAGTAGGACTGTCTGCCGGAGTCTACTAGACGAGTCCAAGCACGACTCACGTTTATAATGGTCAACTAACTAAGTAATATGACCTTTACACTGACCTCAAATGACTGATTTGAGTCAAAAATCACAAATGAGAAGCAAACAACTGATTTCTGCATACAAAATCTCATATGCGCAAATGAGATCTACACTCCCGCAATGGATTTCATTTTAAATAAATGAATTCCAACGAGTTTCAAATGAATTCCAAATGCGAATGAATACATTGAACATACCCTAAATTAAAGTTTTTCATTCCATTTTGACAGTTTGTGAAAGCTGTTTTTAACATATTTACAAAAAAAAGTAAACAAGTATTTGGTGATTGTATTTTCTTGAAAAGGATGCATCTCTTTTTGGAACTTATACTTCCCAAAAATTACTTACCAGTTGGTAGCACTGACTGCCCCCAAATTGTTGGTCACCTGGTCTTTCCGCCAAAAATGCGGACGTGATTTACAGTGTTTTCCACCTCGTGTACCGAATCAAACACCTTTCAAGCCGAAATACTTTCTTCAATTCGCACGATATCATGGTATAGCTCAGCGTTCCATCTAATTCGATACTCGTCGCCAACGTGTGGGGAACCATAGATCTTCTTCTAATGCCTTCTCATCACTGTTGGTAATTATCCACGCTTCTGTACTATACAGCGGGACAAAAAGAACTTAATCGAAGCTAAAATTAAGTTTTCAGTTTATATTGTTTGAAGGTATATTTTACCTTCATCCAACATTTTAGAATAGACCAAAAATCAAATCCGCAGGCACATTGACAAATCAGCTATTTGAAATGGGAACAAATGAATAACAACGAATGTAAACACTCTGACTGTCAAATGACTGATTTAAAATGAATCATTTATGGACAGTGTCTACGCCACATAAGTAAAGTTTGATATAAACGATTTTATTTATAAAACACATGAAAAATGTTTTAAATTTGCCTACAAATAAATTTCCCATAAGGGAAATCACCAAAAGTTGAAATTTGAAATATTTTTCATATGTTTTATATGTAAAATGTAAACAAACAACAGCTGAGCTGTGAACAAAGGCGCTTAGAAAGTAAGTATTTAATAAAATATTTGTTTTTATTAATTGAATATGTAATTGATACATAAATTGTATATAAATGATTTAATATATTAATATATATTATTCTTTTGTGTGATATATTATTAAGTGAAATTTATCAAAATTCTATATTTAATATATTTGATTTAATATATTAATTACATACCATATTTAATTTTTTTTGTGTGATATATTAGGTCTGTTCCACGAGCTACTCGTAGTGAAACACAAGTAAAACACAAGTAAAATTTACTCGAAAATACACGTAAATTTGCTGGTGGAACGCACTTGTGTATACACATTGTTACTCAAAGTTACTAGAAGTAGCTGGGGGAACAGACCTATTATTAAGTGAAGTTTATTAAAGTTCTATCAGCTGCATAAATGAGCTCATTAAAATGTGAACGTTTATTCATTAAATATATGAGCACGTACTTAAATGAGGCAGTGTGAATGTACTAGTAGGCGCAAAATTGTACTTTTATCTTTTATTTATTCATTTTTTTTATTTTATTGTATTATTACATACTTTACGTTTATTTTTAAAGGCATTTACGTCACTACTTCTACATATTTTAAATGATGATGTATACGAAATAAAATTTAATTTTCAATAAAATTTATTATGTTTGCCAGTTGCCTTCAAAGTACAATATATATTTATATACATTGTTTATAAATGTGTTTAATTAATTTAATATATTTAAGTGAAACTTTAAACTGAATGTTCTTCTCCTTAAAATATTGTTCATTGAATTAAAATAAAGTAAAATTATTTTTCAAAAACACATTAAATTTATTAAATTGACTTAAGATATGAAAATAATTTCTTCAGTACAAATAAATTTAATCAACAAAATAACTCTGCAGTTTTGATTTTAGCCTTAAATACAAATATATATGGTATATAATGCAAGGATAAGGAATTCATTATACATAAGTAACAAAATAAAAAGGATACAAATTGAAAGCAAATAATTGAAAAGCTTAAGCGGTTTATGTAGATTGCGCGTATCATTGATGAGCCGCTTATAATTTCATTAACATTTCTTTGAAATTCAAACCGTTCATTTCAGGTAATTAACCTTTTTACGCTTTTTAACTATCTGAGCTCGTAATCGTTTTTAGTATTTTTTTGTGTTAATTATTTAAAAAGGCTTTCTTAAACGTCGTACTGACGAACATTGCAAGCACATTTCAGTACGTCTGTTAAATTCTTTATCGGCAAAGGAGCGGTAAAGGTGGTATGGTCGGTACTACTTTATTTGCTTGCCTCGACATTTGATTATTAAAAATGCTCTTGCAATGTTGTTGCTAGCCTTACAGGCGTTTTATTATGACTGTAGCTCTCGTTACACTCGTTAACATGACAGGTTCCAGTTTTAGGTTTTGACATAATCACCTTTAATTTTTCCTTTTTAACCCTTGCCCTTAACCCTTATTCTTTCGCAACAACGATTGAGCGCCAATTGACTGGAGTATTCACCATATTTCTAAGGGTCATTAGTATTTGTTTAGGTTTTGCTTTTTATTTGCTTGATTTCTTTCAAATTTGAATAAATGCGTTGGCGTAATTTGATCAACTTCAAATATTTAGAGCTATAATTTAATTTACTATAAAAATTTTCTAAGAAAATATTTTATAAATATTAGCATTATTGCTTTCAATATAGATATAAGACAATTGGTGAAAAATTTTTGTTTAAATATAACAATAGTCATTATTAGTATTGAGTTTAGTTGGGGTAAGTTTCACTGCGACCTAAAGACCTATTGTGTTTTCTTCAAAGATAGAGATTGTTTCTGTAAATACAATTTCCTAATTAATTTGTTGTATCAAACCTTGGTTATTTGGTTGGTCAGCGAAAGGATAAACTTTCGTTCCATATAATCATTAATTTTTCATCATTTTGCAATCACATTCATCGGAAGAAACCTATCGTTTCTTTATAGGATATATGCGTATCCAGAACCGTCTATTTTAGTTAACATACAATTGTGTCCAGGAATGGCTTTTCTTTTTAAGATACTATCGTATTCAGAAGTAGTTATTTTATAGGACAGAAACAAGCCAAAAAAAAATTTTAATTATTGGTGTGCTTATTGGTTAATATCACATCTCATAACATAAACAAACAACGATGGACAAAACTAGAACCATTCTATTGTCTTTCTGTCATTTAATAGATCTTTCACACAAAAACTTCCCTAAAAACGTTTGTAACTTAATAAATATTTTGTACCAAAACTTTTGTAAAACCCTGTATTTTCATCGGAAAATTCTAAAAATTAAAACTTAAAAATTTTTGTCACTAAAACTTAACTCTGAAGATTTCAAGAGCATTGTTTCGTTGCTTCACATGTTTTCTTTCGTAAGTTGCAAGTATTTTTTTGTTACTCTGAAGGTAAAAATTACGGCTTATGTTATGTACTGAATAAGTTGTGCGTAAGCAACAGCTGATCTATTCTACTTGTTGCTGATCAATGTTAAAAAAGAAAAAGAAAAAAAATTGAGAGTTACTCGAGAAATCGTGTATAAAATGTTTTCGATTATTCAAATAATATTCAAAATTTTGTGTAACAAAGTGAAAATATCACGGAGTACAAAAATAAAAAGCCTAATGCTACGCAGTGGTGTGTAATGATTTTCCCCACCCTGACTTGCTATGTTGCCCACCGGGTCCCTACTCTCCACGGTATTTGCTAAAATAACAGCATTTTCTGAGAAATTTCGTTCTGTTCTGGTTTTTTGACATTAAAATGTTAGGCGATCATGTTGTGTTTGTGCATTTAATGAATATAGATCTGAACTAGTCAGCCATGCCCGCGATGTTGTAACGATTAAATTTTTATTTAATAAAGTTTTAGTCGTTAAATGTTCGATTAGGGAACAAAATTCGACAGATCGAAAGTGATTCTAAATTGAATCCAAATTTAACAACCGAACACGCCATAAGTTACTGCCACCACATTCTGCCATATGTGGTGATTCATAAAAAGATATATATATTTTAATGCTATATACATATATTATATAAATATTAATATATTACAGCATAAGTTACTGTCACCACATTCTCCCGTGTGTTGTGTTTTTGAGTATTAATTTATTATATCAAAATATAATATATTATATTATATGTTACACACTTATAGTGTTGAGAATTTTTTTAACTTTGGATTTTAATATCAACAAAAAATCTAAATTGGCTTAGAAGTTGAAAAAATACACTTTTATTTTTTAAAGCTGGCAATGACTTTTAAATCTTATATAAAAACTAATTTTGAACGACAATTGTCATTCGTGTTTTGTACGCTAATATATCCTCACATAATTTTCTGAGAGCTCTATTGAAATTTTTTACGAACTACACGGAATTCGGCAATCAACTAAACTTTAATCATGTGGGCGAATTGTTTTGCTGAAAAAGAGTCTTCTGCTGGTAATATGTACGTGGATTCCTGCAGCGTTGTTATACCTGGTGAAAATAGCTTCATATATGCTGTGCAGACCTTAAATAGAAATAATTGGGCATCGCGTCATACCTTGGGTAATAGGATACGTCCGTTAAGTGATCAAATCTGTATGACATATGCTGGTTACCATGCCCTAGGCTGGCAGATATGGGAATCAGCCAAAAAGGAATGTGCTGCTTATAGTCATGGTACAAGAGCTGTAAGCGTAGCTCACATTACTTCCTATACTGCCGGTCTGCTTGCTGATATCAAGAGCCAGACATACAGCAAGATAATAATAGCTGGTTTTGATGAGAAAGGATCTCATATTTATAAAATTAGTAAGGCCGGAGTCGAGAGAAGCATGAGTCCATGTATTATAGGCTTTAATGAAGATGTGGTACATCAATACTTAGATGAGAAATACAAAGTCGTTCAAATGTGTGATGACAAGACCTTAATTAAGCTAAGCATGATGTGTCTAGCTAATCAAAAAATAAGTTTTGCCAAGTGTACAGTCTCCACTCATGTAAGGGGTGAGTTTTTGCGTGACTTGCCTGATGAAGAAGTTATGAAAATTATGAATGGCTCAGACGGAAAAGATGGTTGCGCAAATGGTGGTACCTCAATAGGTGATTTCGGAAAAGATGGCTTCGGAAAAGATAGTTTCGCAAAAAGTGGTTTCGGAATATGTGATTTTGGAAAAAATGGTTTCGCACACGATAGTTTCGTAAAAGGTGGTTTCGGAAGCGGTGATTTTGGAAAAGGTGATTTCGCAAAAGATGATTCCACAAAAGATGCTTTCGCAAAAGGTGGTTTCGCTTTAAAGAAATAGCATTAATTCATAAGCATTTTTTTTTTTAATTTTATTATGTTTCCATAGCATTTATTCCATAAACGTACATATTACAAGCTAGTTTACGCCATCGTAGCATGTTGTCTCTTTTGTACACATGTAAATTGTAGTTGAAATGTGTCGGACAACAGCACTTTTGTCTCTTTCGTACACATATTAGTTGCATTTGAAGAGCGTCAAACAACAGCACTGGCATGTAATATTTATGTTTTATGAAAAATTTGCTTTCTGTAAAAATACAAAGTTTTAATTAAAAATACTGCAAGTTTTTAATTAATTAATAAATTTGTTACTACTAAAATGAATATTGTCTTTGTCTTATAATTTTTTACTGTGGCATTGGAATAAAATACCGCTATTAATAAATATTAGTTCCCATATAAGTGTGGACGTATCTGAGAAACTATGTCAGTGCAATTTTGTAAAATCCGTTTTGCTGAATAAAAATAAAGAGCAAAAAAAAAAATAAACAGAAAGATGATCACATTACATGAATCTGGTTTTAATCGCTGCACATATAGTATTGCCTATACCTTTGTTACGCAGCAGTTATTAAGCAACTAGTGAAATGAGTGGTCCGTGGGGATGAGTTAAATCCCCACTTAGATTATATAAATTTCTCAACACATTTTTTTTACATAATTTAATAGAGCATTCTATTATTTTTGAACAAAAAAAAACTAAAACAAATGAGAAACAAAGAAATTCACCCACATATTAGTTGTATATTTTGGAACTAGTGCATATTCTGACCCCTGGTAATGCAACGATTCACCACTTGAACCAAAAATCCACAGCTTATGTTTGTTGTGTATCAACAAATTGAGAGCAATATGCTTCGCTCTCAATATAGCGCTGACTTGGCGAATATTAAAAACATACAACAATATGCTTAGTGGACTGTGAACCTATGACAGGAGTATAAAATTATTTAATACATATATGTACACATTTTAAAATAAATATATATATAATAATATATAAAATTCACGTTCTATTTATTATTTTTCAAATCTAGAACTAGTCAAAACACTAGTGCCGCGGTATATAGTGCGAGTACAATTTACACTATTCTACCCCTTATGAAGTAGTGAAAAGACTTATTCCGAGGTGTATCGTTTAGGGACAACTGACACCGGCAATGACAACTCAATATAAAATTCACCAGTTGAGCCCACGTAAAGTGGATTATAAAGCGACTAGTACTATACACCTGTGGGGACTAGTAAATTCAATAGTTCAGAACTAGTCGCAGGCGCTGATGGGAATGGATTAATCTGACTTAGCGGTACTACTATTACCTTATAAATTTTGTTTTTATTATTGAAATTTGCTATAATATCGGCTGCGTCCATGCATATGTATTAGTATCAATTATAACAAATATTACTAGAAGTATATTGAAGATAAATTAATTAATAGAAAATTGGCATTTGTGCTGGAAATTTAGAAAAAAAAACCATAAGATTTTATTTTGCAGTATGTTTATTGTGTTCGTAAAGGATATGAGACTTACGATTATTCATTTTTGAGAAGATTTAAATATCAATAAATTAATATTAATAAATTATATATATTAAGTGTATTTAAAATTGCTAGTTTATATATCTAATCAGAAAAGAGGGGTCGTTTTTCAATAATTCATTGTTGAGCATTGTAAAATTAACTAAAAACATAGATTCAAGGTTTTGGCTGCTGGTCATTTTTTTGGTGGAAAATTGTAAGTAAGCAAATCTACATTTCCTTTTAAATAAAGGCACAATCAAAAAGTACAAAAGTTATATTAAAAACACGATTGAAAATACTGCTATGACACTCTACATAACATATATTTTCGTTATTTTACTTCAAAAAAGATAGAGCAAGAAAACTGCTCTTATTTTACTAAACATCGTGGTGAGTAAGGACCGGGTGGGCAAAATAGCAAGACCGTGTGGGGAAAACCATCACGCACTATTATGTAGCAATAGGCTTTTTGTTTCTGTGCTTCCTGATATTTTCACCTCATTACACAACATATTGAATATTATTTGAATAATCCAATAAATTTTTAACACAATTTGTCGAATAACTCTTAGTCTCTTTTCTTTATCTTCTTTGCTACAGTTCTGTAAAAAAATTTCATAATTCTTCGAAGTGATTTTCGTATTTCACAATTTTGTTGGTGTTCATCCTGTTTCGAAGCTTGTTTTAAAGTAATATTTATATATCTAATTCGATAAACTTATGGATTTTTTATAAGTTATTGTGGTGACGATAAAGATTGTGATTGTAATTGGTTATGTATAACAAAAAGCTGGCGATATCGGGTTTAACTGCATATTGTGTATATGTATTTCCAAGAAGTATTACATCTGTTACGCTTGCTGATGACCATATACATATGGCAATGGCTCCAATAACTATATTTTGCAATTTTCTCTTCAGTTTTGATATGTCTGTTATAGTCGCTAACGCAAAAGGAGTTTATACAGCTGGTTTTTAAATTGAAGTAAGATTATGGCGACTTCTCGAACAGTTGTTATGGAGGCACAATAATAATTCAAGTGTTTCTGGAAGTTTTGATGCCATAACTAGCACATGCAATGTATCATTCGAGAACCTTACCAAGGGTTAAAATACACATATTGTTACGCTGGCGTTACTGCATTGCATTTGTTATATTTATATAAATTATATTTATTTGTTCTGATTGGTGAGTATAATGATCGCATTAATTGACACAATTAGATATTTTATAAGGTAAGATATACATATGCATTTATATATATAGTATTCAAGTGCAGTTTGGCGCATATAATGTATACTAGTAACCTCAGCATTGCGGTTATTGAACAAAAGCGAGTCTGCGAGTCTATTACTGGTTCAGATATATATACATATATATATATATATATGGTTTCAGATATAACAACTGTGCGTACGACCCACCCAGAACCACTTGGCTACAACAACCAAGTATCAAGCGAAATCAATAGATTTTAACAAGGTAGTAGAACTATACGGGGGCTACAACATCAACAATTTGAAATAAATGTTCGCTTTCCAATCATTTCGTATATTATGGCTATAAGTGTTTTTAAGGCATAATGGAAATACAAGCAAATGCCTTTTGAAAAGTTTTGAATAAATAATACTTTAACAAGCTATTATAGCAATAATAGCTTGCTGGTAACTAATAGAATTATTAATTATATATAATAATTATTATTAAGTAAATTTATTTGCTTTCAGAAACTAAATGTACTTAAAAGGATTGGAACATCATTCCGACTTTTCGTTATAATTTACATAAAACAATAATAAATGGAATAACTTTAACTAAGAATATAAGTGAACTGTGGAGATGGTCATCTATTAGTTCTTTTCATCAAACAGTAAGTTGATATTAGTTATAGTATATTAGAATACAATTAATAAACAATTTGTATATAGTTATACATTTGATTATATTATATAAAATTAATAGTTCAGTAATGCTTCACTGTGATGTCAGTATTGGATCTTATCCTATTCTATTAATGAAGTCTATTAGATTTCATGAGTTTTCTCTCACTCATTCATTTTTTTTTTTGGTAGGAGTTATAGTTTTGCGTTCTTTTAAAACCTGTGAAACCAAGTTCAATTAGAAATTGTAGGCGTAACTCATCTTATATTTCATAAGAACGTAATGTTCGATTGGTACCTGAGTTTACAGGATCTTGTTAAGAAACTACAGTTATATCTGTAACAGAATTATCGGATTTTTCGGTTTAAATGTAACAAATCTAAGCATTGGAATTTAATCCTTAGTGAGCAAGAAAACCGCTTTAGATATTGTTCTAGACTATAGACTATAAATATTATTATTAGAAATACTACAATTTGTATTGTCAATTATGTTGTGCTCTTTCATTCCATAGATTGTTATGGTACTTTGATGATGTCCTTAAATAAGTTTATAGTCAATTAATTGCCATATCATTGTAACGAATTATATTCTGTCCGATATCCATAATATAGTTGATATGTTATGGTTTATCTGGTTAACACTCATACCTTAGTGCTATACAATGAATTTGTAGATTATTACTTAGTTCCTTAGTGTGCAGACTATTTCATTTCAATTCGTATCTTCATTAAATTTAAATTGTGTATATATGTTATATGTGTACATATACATATGTTTGCAATTTTTTAAAAAAATTTTCAAAAATTAATGAATTGTGCTACAAATATTATTCGAGATCTTCAAAGCTTTGATATATTGATGTTTAAGTATATTTATAAAGCAATACATAAAGTGTTCGAGTAATTGAAGAATTTCTATAAAATAATAGAAATTTAAAATGTTCAGAGATTTCTACATATATCGTTAATTAATCAAATTGATTAAATATTGCACATAAATTATTGTTCAATAAATTAAAGATATTGCTGTTTTATTATTAAGCATATTAATTTAAAATTAATAAAATACATGAATATTAAATAATTTTGTAAAAGGGTTTGTGATCTGTTACGGCTTCTTAAATGTTGCCAATTCATTGACACGTTTAAGCATTTTACCATGTTCCCACTGCAGCAGCTAAATCAATTTATGTTCATCAAATCAAGATTTGGTCATTTCTATTGGGATAAGTTGATTTTTGCATGTGAAAGCGCTTTAATTTATCTGAAAGTTTTGTGATAGATCTATTTTTTCTATTAAGAAATATATTTTATTGATTTTCAACGTCCGTTTTGACGAAAGAAACTAAATTCTTAATATAAACTTTTGGTTTCAATAGAGAGGTACTTCGAGAGGTCTGAACACCACTTTTGAATAAGTAAACAAATTAAATTCTAGAACAATTTATGAACTTTGTAGTTGCTCTGTAGCAAAATTATTTTGTTAAAGAGTTCAATTATTTAAAAATAAATTAATAATAATAATAAATTAATAATAAATTAATAAAAAATTGTTGTTGTTGCAATTCAGTACTGTTCGAAGTCTTTCT